ATTTAAAAAATATATAGAAAATGCCTAAAAATAATATTATTAAGGTCTGAATTTTATTTTTCCCAAGGGACATAAAATATGTTAGACCGGGGCTATATGTCAATATTTTTTATTTTTTATTATTACGATTTGACTTCCTAAATAACTGTTCATATACCCAGAAAATCAAGTTTATATACCATTATCAATTTCTTCTCATTACAATACAAAGCCTATATCGATTCGTCTTATATATATTATTATTAAATATTATCACCATAATATATATATTCAATTATTTATATAATATTAATTATTTTTTTAACAGCATAATATTAATTATGTAGTATAATATTAATTATTTAGTATAAAAAATTTCCATTTTCATTTTGTTTTGCAAAAATTTTAAAAAAAAATTAAAGAAAAAGAAAAAGTTGAAAAAGGAAAAGAAAATAAGAAAAAACAGGAAGAAGAAAACAAACAAAAACAAAAAGCTGAAGAAAAGTTACAGAAAAAAAAGAATGAAAAAGAAAAATACTGAAAAAGATGAAGAATAAAGAAAAATATGGAAAAAAAGAGAAACAAAGGAAAAACAGAGAAAAAAATTAATAAAAATAAGAAAAGAAGAAGAAAGGAGAAGAATAACATAAAAAAGAAACTTAAAACAAAATTGGAGAATAAGAGAAATACAGAAAAGAAAATAAGTACAAAGAAGAAAAACAGAGAAAAAGAACTAGATAAGAAAAAACAGAAGAACGAGAAATAAAACAGAGAAAAAATAGAAGAAGAGCAGAGAAAAAAAGAGAGAAGAGGTAAAAGTGGAAGAGAAGAGAAGAACATAGAAAAAGCAGATGAACTTTTAAAAATAAAGGAATAGAAAAAAAGAATAAAAACAAAAAAATTACGTAGTTATAGTTATAATATCTTTGAATCAATAACAAATAACCTATAATATTTGATTTTTAATTATATATTTGTGTACTTACAAAATTTAAATTCACTCTTTATAATATATAAAAAAACTAACCATAAAAATAACATATTTATGTCTTATTTTTTCATATCACATTTTATAAATTACAAATTTTAATCTTTGTCAGGTTAGAATCTAGTTATCATTAAATATCAAACATCAAATTATACTATAAATTGTTATGTCGTGTTATATCCATTTCTAGGGTTTGAAACAGCCGCCATGAAGAATCTGGAACAGCAGTTCTCGGGGGATATATCGATCACACAAGTAAGAGAACATTCAGACCATATCCCAGTTGATCTCCTCATCGATATATTTTCGAGAGTCCCAATAAAGTCTATAGGTAGGTTTCGTTGTGTATCGAAATCATGGAGATCCACAATTCGTCGTCCTGATTTCACTGAGTTGTTTCTGACTAAGTCTTTGACTCGTCCACGGATCTTGTTCGCCATAGAAGTTTGTAATGGAGTGTTATCCGTCTTCTCTTCACCTCAACCTCAAAACTATAAAGATGGCAAGGACTATTCTGTTGTAGCCACACGTTATAACTCTTTTCCCAAATACTTTCCGACTCGAATATGTCTCCCTCTCAATGGATTGGTCTTTCTTCATGGATGGAAAAGAAGAAGGGTGCGGGTGATTTGTAACCCTCTCACTGGAGAGTCCATAACCTTACCCACAGTGAAAGCGACAGATATCGAAAGCAGCAACTTTGGCTATGATCCCATCAGCAAACAGCACCAAGTGTTGTGTATGATCCGCAAGTCACGCTATGGGAGACCCAATACCCACTGGGTTCTGACATTGGGGACAGGAAAACGTGTTTGGAGAAGCACGATGGAATGCAAACTCTATTTTCGTTCTTATGATAATGGAATATGCATAAATGGTGTTTTGTATTACAGAGCTGACTTTGAAGGAGGACCCTCCATGATGGTTTGCTTTGACTTCAGCTCTGAGAAGTTCAGCTTTATTAAGTTACATAAAGGTATGTTAGATGAAGATTATGGAACAAATTTGATGAACTACAAGGGTAAATTATGTGCAGCTTGTTTTAGAGACCATTGGGAGCTAAAAGTACTTGTGTTGTGGGTTCTAGAAGATGATGGTGGAGAACATAAATGGTCCAAATCTAAATGTCGACTGCCTCTTTTACTCGGCAGCAATAGGAATCGTCTTGACGTTGTTGGAATCACCGGCGCTGGTGAAATTGTGTTTACGCAGTTCCCTGAACGTGGATCGAGCCATTTCTATCTTTTCTTCTACAATATAGAGAAGGAAACTTTTACAAGAGTCACTATTCAGGGATCTGGAGAGTTTATGCGTTTTATGCCTCACATCTTTCTAGACTATTCTGAGAGTATGATAGGTTTGTGAGTGTTGTTCATCAAGGATTCATTACTTTGAGATTATTAAACTCTTGTGATATTGTTCCTCGCTCGCTTAAGATTTGTATGGATTTCAATTTTTCATAATAAAGCTAGTTTTTGCTCTAAACAATGTACATCACATGATCATGGTTCTTAGATCATCCACATTGGTAGTCTCTCATGCAGATGCTTTTAAACCATCTGCATTGGGAGTCTCTCATGAGAGACTATCAATGCAGATGTTTTTAGACCATCTGCATTGGGAGTTTCTCATGAGAGACTATCAATGCAGATGCTTTTAGACCATCTGCATTGGTAGTCTCTCAACAATAAAAATAAAATAAAATAATAAATATTAATATTTTAATGTATAAGTCTCTAAAAAAATGAATATGAAAGACATTGAGAGAGTCTCTCAACTATTTTAAAAAATTATTATAATAAAATATTTATATATATATTATTTTATGATTTTTTTATTGATGAGAGACTCTTGTGAGAGACTCATCAATGCAGATGCTCTTATATCTCTCTCCTTTCAATTTGTCTCTGTTGTGATTCGTTAATACTTCCTTGCTGACCACGTAACTGAAACAGTATCTTAAGGCATCAACTGATCCGTCCAAGTAGAGAGATAAGGCCATAGTTCGTCTGAATTTTGGATAGATCAACGGCTTAACTCTTACCAGAGGCGGAACATTTGATCGTGTATCGTGGCCATTTTGCAATTGTACTAGCTATAGTGTACGTGGTTTTAAATTGTTTGAACACAAAATATCTATATATTATCCTTTTATGACTATTTGAATTGTATATTTATTTAAGAGAAATTCCCTAAAATACACAATAATCTAAGTTTTTGTTCCATATATATACTAACACTCTAAAAAATTATTTCCATAACATTTTATATCATATTAGTCTTAGTTAGATAAAACATTAATTAATAAAAAAAGAAAAAATAATATACAAACAAATGTATCAATGGCCAAGACTGATATGAAATCAAATCATTTGTTTTGTTTAGAATCACTCTTCTCATTTGATTGTGATTTGTGATTGTGAATCTATTAGATTTTTGGGGTTTTTTATGGGAAAATGATTTCAGGATATAAAGCTCAAAATTATATAATGATAGATAGATTTGATATAATTGGGTGAAAAACTCAAAAACCCGAGCTAAAACAACAACAATGGTGGAAAAAAAATTGGCAGAAATTAGGATTTGGATGTCGCAGAGGTGGGGAAGGAGATAAGAGTGAATTTAGGAAGATATTCTAAAATTTTATGAAAGATTTTCTAAAATATATAAATTAAGGAAGTCATTATATGTATTTGAGAATGTCTTCGTAAATCGTATAATTGATTATTATTTTTGTTAATTTATACAATTCAAATTCAAAAAGTCTTTCCACAATTCAGGAAACCCTTCCACAATTCAGGAAGCCTTTCCACAATTCAGGAAATTTTAATAAATTTAAGAAAACTTTCTTAAACCATATGAAACAATGTTAAATTCTAGTATTTGGAAGACCTTCCATAAAATATCATGAAACATTAACAGAAAAAAACATTTTGGAAGACTTTCCTAAAAGGTAAAATAAGAAAACTCAAATAAAAAATGTTAGACGTGAAAAAATTTTAGTTTTCTTATTATATTTATCCTGAAAACTTATTTTCATGGAAATTACCCTTTATTTAATTTCTGGTTATTAAAACAAAATAATTAAACAATTTATTATTATATATGTAAAAATAATAATTTTTAAAATTTTAATAAGATTGGAGCCTTTTTTTTTTGTCAAGACATGGGAGAGATCTTCTGCCACAATTTATTCAAACGAAAATATCGAGCTACAAAACAACTTGTCGCGGTCTTGTTGACCTGCAAATATCCTCCAACAAAATCGATTTAATAGTATCTGATACTGAATCTAACAAATGCAATCCTAAGGGTAACATAAAGGCATGATTAGCCAGACCATCCGCGAGTCGATTAGCCTCACGATAGACATGCTTTATTCGGATAATCCAATCCCAGGACAATAGTCATAACACAAATGTGTTAGGAAAGACAGGGGATGAGAATCCTTTATACCTATCGTGAGGAAACCCATAACAATTTTCGAGTCTACCTCCAATTCAAGCCGCATGATCCTCCGCTCCCATGCTATACAAAGATCATAGTAAACCTCCCATAACTCTGCTAAAGGGGCAGAGCAGATTCCAATATTCAAGGCAAACCCACCGGACCAGTCTCCCACCTCATTTCTCAAGACTCCTCCAGCGGTCGCCAGATTGGAGCTTTTTAACTTTGTAGTATTATTATATAAGTGGCTAAATAATTTTATTTTTCTTTTTACTCAAATTGTGGATGAATAACAATGTTCATATTTAATTTGGATCTAATAAAAAAGGAAAATTCATTGTCTGCCACCACCACTCAGGTAGAGAGAGAGACGTGTCCCAATTAGAGATACTCATATCTCACAGCTCTGTCACCAGCTCTGTCATCTATTCATATCTCACAGCTCTGTCACTTTTACCCTACATATCACTCTTTCTAGATTTCGCACGTTCGTATTTTTTTCTCAGATTTGCCAAAAAAAAAAACATCTCATCATTTCTCTCTCCTCTCTCTCTCTCTCTTTCTCTCTCCTCTTCTCTATTTCCAGATCGAACTTCGCTCTCGTCACAAATGCCTTTGTCACGGTCTCTCCTCTCGCGGAGGATCTCGATTTCGTTCAGGGATCAGGGAGAGACGACACCGGAAGCCGATTCGTACGAATCGCCGATGCTTCCGCCGTTGTCGGACATGGCTGGGTCATGGTCGGCGATGCTCCCTGAGTTATTGGGCGAGATCATCCGCCGCGTGGAGGAGAGCGAGGACCAGTGGCCTCAACGACGGGACGTCGTCACCTGCGCCTGCGTGTCGAAGAAGTGGAGAGGGATCACCCAGGATATCGTTAGATCCCCTAATAACTCCGGCAAAATCACTTTCCCCTCTTGCCTTAAATTGGTAAGCCTTCTTCGTGATTACTGATTACGCATTTTCGATTTCCTCCTCATCTTCGTATCGTCGTCTTCCCATCTTGCCTTTTGGCTTTATCGTTTTTAGTTGAAATTTTAGGATTCAGATTACAATTTTTTTTTGATTTCCGAAAAAGTTGGGTTCTCTCTTATTCTCTGATTACGAAATTAATTTTGGTGAACTTCGCATTAGAGGCTGAGCTATCGAAATGCAAGTCTTTTGATCATACCATAATGTCATTTTGATCGTTTTTGATCATGTTTACTCGTGAACTTATTCCCCAAGTTGTTTTTGTTCTCCTTTATGGACTTTCTTCTTGCTTTATACCTTTACATATGCCTTAAGTTACATCCTTTTGATCCATCTTCAACACAAGGATGCTGTTCAATTATGTTTTCACTCGAGTCTGGCTTTGCTTTAATTAGAAATTGGCATGAGAGTTGCGACTGAGATTTCTTAGTTTCCTCTGAGATGCAGCCAGGTCCCCGAGAGTTTTCAAATCAGTGCCTGATAAAGAGGAACAAGAAGACGTCAACTTTTTACCTGTATCTTGCTCTAACACCATGTAAGTAATGCCTTCGTGTTCCTTCACGATTGATTCTGTCAAATTGGGAAAAATGTGACTTTTTTGAAAAGTCTAGGTTTTTAGTGTGAAAACGATTGAATTAGTGACTTCCTATGCGTTCAATTTTAAGTTATCTCAGTCTTGTACTAATTAATGCCATTTGAATTCTCACTGAAGAAACTCACCAACCAATGGACATAAATAAGTGTTGACTCTGTTGTTGACCTGTGCGATAATGAAGAAGATTCTCCGCTGAAGTCTTAATAGTATAGTAAATGATCAACTTGTGTTCCTCAGATTTGAATGTAGACTTTTCAGCGTGGCAATCTATAAAGCTCAGAGTTATTGGGAATTTGCTTTACTTTCAGTTGCATTAGTTTTCGATTATACTACTTTCATTGAAGCTATCCGTCAGAAATCTTTCTTGGCTGCAAATTGTTGATTTGTATAGTATTTGGCTAGTGCCCGTAGGCTAACAAAAGGATCTTTCTCAGGATTTATAAAAATTGATTTTTGTTGTCCACCAGCATTCACTGATAAGGGAAAGTTTCTTCTGGCGGCGCGGAGGTTCAGGACAGGTGCTTACACTGAGTACATCATATCACTTGATGCTGATGATTTCTCTCAAGGAAGTAATGCCTACGTTGGCAAGCTAAGGTACTTATATGAGCCAACACTGAATATCATATGCGACCATTTATTAGTCTCTAAAGCAAGATTGTTCTTGTCAGAAGTTTTATATTTAGACTCTCGGATGGATTTTTGAAGCCTTGAATATCTTTTAAAGGATTTCATCATCTCTGCCTTGAAGATGAGTGGATTTAAACTAAGACTCATGGTTTCTTTTGGGGATCTCTGCAGATCGGATTTTCTTGGGACCAACTTTACAGTATACGATAGCCAACCGCCACATAACGGAGCAAAACCTTCGAACGGCAAAGCCAGTCGCAGATTTGCATCGAAGCAGATAAGCCCTCAAGTTCCAGCAGGCAACTTCGAGGTCGGTCACGTTTCTTATAAATTCAACCTCTTGAAATCAAGAGGTCCGAGAAGAATGGTAAGCACACTCCGTTGCCCATCCTCATCGTGGTCATCATCATCATCATCATCCAGTGGACTTTGTCCCGACCAAAAGCCATGTGATGTCAACAAGTTGATGAAAAAACCCAACAAGGACGGTTCAGGCTTCACGATACTAAAGAACAAAGCTCCGAGATGGCACGAGCACTTACAATGCTGGTGTCTGAACTTCCATGGACGAGTAACCGTCGCTTCGGTCAAAAACTTCCAGCTGGTTGCGACCGTTGACCAGAGTCAACCGAGCGGTAAAGGAGATGAAGAGACAGTGCTTCTCCAATTTGGGAAAGTTGGTGATGACACGTTCACCATGGATTATAGACAGCCTCTCTCTGCTTTTCAGGCTTTTGCCATCTGTCTCACAAGTTTCGGCACTAAACTTGCCTGCGAGTGAAACCCAGCACAAGGCAACAGAAAACAAAAAGGAGTTTAACGTTCTTTGCAAAGGAAAATGTAATGTTTTGATGTAATCATGTCTTTTTAAGTGTAAACAACAAGAAGAAGCACGTAATTATTTCCATGTAAGAAAACAAAATTGTAATTTCAAGACCCTAAAAATTAAAATGTAATAAGATCTCTGATGTAAATTTTATGTGCTTTCCTAATCCTTATCTCAGATGGTTCTAACAACGAGCGAATGATTTTGTTATTTGAATGTCCTCGAACCGAATGCAAACCAAGCACATACCAGTTGCTTGATTTGCTGCTTAGACAATGTAAATTCTTCCTAGAAAGATTTCATTTTCATCCTCCTGGAGATTTCTTCGTCGTCAGTGTTTTTTTTGCGGTTACAAAAGTTAAAAAAATTAATTACGTAATTGTTACTGATTAGCAAAGCAAGCGGGAATAGTTCAGGTGGCAGAGCATCGTGCTAACCGTACGGGGGCCGCGTGTTCGAACCTCGCTTTCCGCATTTTTTAAATAATTTTGTTGGCATATACACAACCAGGCCCATGGTCATCCATTTAAAAAAACAAATTGGCCCAACTAGAAAATATCTATTGCTTAACACAAAGAGAAACTTCCATTTCCTATAAGTAATAATTAATAATTATCATTTCAAAAAATAATTAATAATTAATAAATCGGGAACTCTTAAACCCAAACGAATATATCTTTAGTTTTGTTTAATGATTGGTAACATTATTGAAAAATAGTTTCCCCAATTTTTGGGAACTAACTTATCCAAAAATTTGAATGGGTACAAAGTACAAACAAATGAACAATCAATACCAACATTAATAGATACCAATATTATTCTAGAAGGAGATTTAATAAATTTTCATTAGAACAATTTAGAGCAATAAACAGTTTTTCAGAATATTGATTCAACGCTTCTTTTCTTTTGATAATCTGGGAACAATTTTAATTTCTTTGCTCAAACATCACAAGATTCCAACACTGTGGTGGGTTCTTTGTATTGACTGTCATAATGGGGGGTTGTTTGGGGAAGATGAAGGAAAAGGACACAGTCTCTAATGGACCTGCGCATAAGCCCAACAATCGGGGAACCAGAGCTGTAACAACAAGCAATGGTGATGGCTTCATGTTTTTTTTTCGCGGCTGCGCCTCTCCCTGCTGTCTCCGCTTCCGGCAATCAAGGCGGTGGTGGTTGTGGTGGATGCGGACATCACGGTGGCGGCGGTGGAGGAGGATGTGGCGGTGGAGGAGGATGTGGCGGTGGCGGAGGCGGAGGCGGATGTGGTGGTGGCGGACGAGATTAGTTCATGTGTAACGATTCTACTAAGATTAAGCTGTTATGATTTTTTTAAAAAAATATTTTATAGTGGATATTTGTTTTTTTTTTTCAAATTCTATTGGATTTTTTTTTCAAAATTTATGTTTGGTTTAACTTTTATCTATACATTAGGTATTTAACCGTGCTACGCTGCAGGATATTTTTCTAGATTTTGTACATATTTTTAATATAATAAAAATATTTTTATAATGTAAATGAGTATTATATTTATTTTTTATTAGCTTAAGTTATGTATTTATATGTTTTAAATCTGAATAAACGTTATATATAATTAATTTTTTATTTTTGTAAATTATAATCTACCATCAAATTTGTTTGGCTAACTATCTATAAATGTATATGTAAGAATAAAATAATACATTTTTAAGTATTTTCATGCTAATGGCAAATGTAATTTATCTTCTTACTAAATTGCCACTTGATCCTCTTTTGAAATTATATAAAGCAAATTGCCATTTAAAAAAATTATTAATTAATATGATTATTTAAAATTATAAAATTTACCCAATTATCAAATATTTATTACAAACATATGTTTCTAAAACTACCAAACTATAATCAATAACATTCATATCAAAATCATTGCTATTACTTTATAACTAAATAGAAAATTCTGTTTGAACTGTTGAAATATCAATTTAGTTGAAGTTAAATAATTTAATTTTGGTTACTATAAACATATTGTAATTTGAAAATTTAGCGCAAATAAATTTTATCTTTTTTACAAAAATCGAGAAATTATATTTTTCAACAAAACAAAAAAAATTCATTTTTCCACAAAACTAAGAAATCGCCTATTTCCGCAAAACCAAAAAAAAAATTCATTTTCTCGTCAAACCTAAATTTTTATTTTCCTACCAAAACAGAGAAATTGCATTTTCCTGGAAAAACAAAAAAATCACATTTTCCTGCGAGAACCTGTATTTTCCCGCCAAAACAAAGAAATCAAATTTTTTTCACCAAAACAAAAAAAAATCATCTTCCTGCAAAAACCAACAATCTAATTGGTAACACTTGTGGAATGGTAGAATGGTGGAAAAACCCAAAAACACAAGAATTTTGCCAATCAAAAAAACCTGTGGAAAAATGTAAAAACGCAAGATCTGCGGAATTACGTTTTTGCTTACAGAAAATACAAAGAAATCTTCATTAAGCGCAAAAGCGTGTTTGGAGTAGATTATTTGCGGAATCAATGTTTATATTATTCAATTATATAATTAATTATATTTTATTATTTAAATAAATATAAATAAATAATTTAGTGTAACAAAAAATTATTTAATGATGAATTTATATCTATTATTTAAGGTTTGTAATATTTTTTATTTTGAAAAAAAAATTATTAAAAAGTTATAATTAGAATTATATCATTTTATAATAATTGATTGAATTATTAATATTTTATGTTTTTATAATATATAGTAAAAAGCAGAATATTTTCAATAAGTATATTCTGTAATTCTGCAATTCCGCCATAATTTACCTAATCGTATTAAAAAGTTCAGCAATTCTGCAATAAATTATTCCGCAATTTATTTTTTCTGCCATTCCGCAGTTTCGCAATATAAAAAATATGTTACCAATCGGAGCCTTAGTATTTTCCCGTCAAAACCGAAAAACCACAAAAACCGAAAAATCGTCTATTTCCGCCAAAACAAAACAAAAATATTTTTCTCGTCAAACCAAGAATCTCGCCTTCATACCAAAATCGATAAACTAAAATTTCTCACGAAAACCAAAAAAATGCATTATCTCTTGAGTAATTGTGTTTCCTGCAAAAACTAATAAATCGCATTTTCCCGCGAAAATCAAAAAATCACTTTATATGTAAAAAACTGAAAATTTGCATTCGCCATCAAAACCGAGAAATTGTTTATCCCCGCCAAAATCGAGAAATTTTGTTTTCCCATCAAACCAAGAAATTGCATTGTCCGCCAAGATTGTCAAACTACAATTTCCCGCGAAAACTAAGAAATTACATTTTCTCGCGAAAATCAAGAAATCACATTATCCATTTAAAGCCAAAAATTTGCATTTCCTATCAAAACCGAGAAATCGTATTTTTTTCGTCAATATTGAAAAATTGCATATTCCTCGCATTTTCTTGCCAAAACTAAGATATGTTGTTTTCACGTCAAAATCAAATTTTTTTTTCCCACCAAAACCAAAAATTCACATTTTTCTGCCAAACCCAAAAATTCACTTTTTCGGCCATAACCGATAAATTATGTTTTCCTACCAAAACTGAAAATCACATTTTCCTACCGAAACCAAAAAATTCTTTATTCCCGCCAAACCCAAGAAAATTTGTTCTCGGTAACTACCGAAAATACGAATCTCCAAGCTGTGGTGGTATTAGCTTCTCCTCATTTGCTTTCGACTTCCATTTTTTTGTAAACTTTGGGCTTTTTAATGGGTGAGCAAAATATTAAACCGATTTTATGAGTGTGTTAATGATATGTATTATTGTTATGTTTTTATTGGTTCAATTTTTTACTGATGTGTGAGCTTCTTATAACATAACACTTTTTGTGTTGTTGTTATGGAAGCATAGTTAATGATGAGTCTATACTTTCTTCAATCATATACGTCTCTATTAAGTAAACACATAATTAGAAATTTTAAGTTTTTTGCTGTTATTTATTATTTGGCAGAAAAATAAAACAAAGATTTAATTTTTTTATTTGGACTTGGTGATGGTAAAAAATATAACATTTTTTTATTTGCTGTTATTTATTTTGAGCTTGGGTTTGGTAAAAATAAAACAATGATTAACAAAGAAAAATATTTAGGTTTTTAATAAATTTAAGTTAAAAATAATAAAAGTTAGTAGATGATGTGTATTAATAAAATATTTTGATTGGTGTTGGTTTAATTAGGTTTATAGATGGGTTTGTATATTTTATCTTTTGGGCTTTTATAAATGAAATAGATGATAAACGAAATAGGTGATGTGTATTAATGTTTTAATTTGATTGGTGAATTTCTTTTCATCATAAATGTCTTCGTTGAGAAGAGAAGGCGAAAGGAACGAAAAAGTGAAAGGGATGAGCTGATGTGGTTTATAGTAATAGAATGGGGAAATGACATGGCATGTTGCAATGTTTTCATTAGTTGATTATTGGGATAATTTTTTAAATGACTCACTTAGATATTTTATTATGAAATAAGATTCTTCCTAAAATGATTCATAAGAAGGGTTCACTAGTACGTTTTTAATCTGTTGTTAGTCTGCCAATAATTTGCATTTAGCTTGTCATTAGTCTGTCAATAATCTACATTCAATTGTAAGACCTATCAGTCTGCCAGTAGTCTGCATTAAGTATGTCAGTAGTCTGCATTCCATCTGCCATTAAACTACAAGTAAAAGTAATTAGAAATATAGCGCTGGTATTTACAAATACTTTTAAAGGTTATTTTCATATTTTTTCCTCAATATAGTATCTATTTTATATTATTTTCTCTTTTTGAATTCTTTTGGAGTATTTTCTCTTAATTATTTTTTTGAATAATTTTACTTGCGTGGAGGTCACCATAGTCTTGAAAATCTTTCCCTTTTATATAAAAGAGATATATAAAAATTATAAATTAAAATATAATTTAAAAATTATGAAGGATTTAAATTTGTAAAT